TAGGCAGATACAGGCTTTCGATATTTTCTGGTTATATTTACCTATAAGTATCTTAGTTTGTATTAGTCCCAAGATATTGATTAAATTACCGGTACTTTTACTGCCCAATTCTTTTCTAATCTCCTTTTATTGTGTTACTGATGATATCGCAAAAGGGCTCAGGTCCCACAAAGGGCGTTTGATGCCCTTTCCTAGCGAGACTATTTTTAATATTATTACCCTTTACTCCGCTATGTCCCGGGATGTAAGTAAGAGTAACTGCATTTTTCTAGCCTAGCTCATTCAGGTTTTCTAGACATCTCCAGACCATTTTTGAGCTGACTACATAAGAGCTAAGCGCTTTTATGGCTGCTTCGCTATCATACATTCTGATAATCTCTTGTCTGCTATAGTTTCTTTCGGTTGAAATGGGTACACTTCTTAATATTGTGAATTTCTGCCTGGAATATACTTGTCTATTTGTTCAAACTTTCAGAGTGTGTGGTTCTATGTCCATACACTCCCATTCTAGTTCTTCTTATGGTTTTGGAACCATCCGTATACCACTGAATAGCATATCTTTCAGTTGCAAGCACGATGGATTCTTGTCTCCATTCTTTCTTGCGGCCCAGCTATTATTTTCTATTAGCAATAATGTTAAATTTTGACTCCATTTAAACAAAGTGTCACAGAAATCATCACTTTTTTAGCATATAATGCTAATGCTGTTCATTTGCAAAATACGAAAAACAATAATTTACGTTTTTATAAATAATGACACCACCTTAATGTATTGTACAATTTTGTTGAAAATAATTGATCCTTATTAATTTTGCCGAATTGTAATCTGCAAAATAAATTCGCAACTTCCAGCAAGGGAAACTGCCTAAAACTGAAATAAAAAAAAGAATTTATCAATAAAAAATGTGTCCACCTGAAGATAGGGTATCACCAGTAACAGCATCACCATTACCATTTTCCCGTCCAGAGATAAAAACGTCTAGATCTGCACCACTGTTAAGAACCAGAGAACTAGTGGACCAGAAGAATAATAAATGAGTTAACCGGTTTACGGTGACCTCATGGATAGCCCTTGACCCTTTAGGGCTCAGTTTAGAACTTTCCAAGACAAAAAAAATTCAACGAAAGAATTTAAATAAAATATTATTAATATAATAATAAAATTTCTCTCCCTAATTCATCCCCTTACGAGTGATTTTAACCCCAAAAGTTGAGTTTGTCCAGTGAAGGGACAGCTGTTATTTGCGTTAGCGCTTCAAGGTGAATTAAAGATTATTGATGTGCCATTTGACTTACAGGCAAGAAAAACCCGGAAAACCCCACCCACCATCATGAATGCCGATGGACCTCCAATTTTTTGTCGTCAAAAACTACTTAAGCGGACACAAAATGAGTTATTACTACACAAGTATTAGAAATTAAAAATTTAAAAAACCGACTTCAAAAACGTACAGATGCCATCACCACATCTTATCCAAATTTATATGGGGCCACCCATGAAGTACCCCCTTTCTAACAAAAAAAAAAATTATTGAAATCGGACACCGTGTTAAAAAATTATCGCTGAACATACATAAAAAAAAATATCGCGACGAATTGAGAACCTTCTCCTTTTTTGAAGTAGGTTAAAAATGGAAATTTATCACCAAAGTATTTACTCAAATCAATAAATCCGTACTTTCACAAACTATATTTAGAGAAAAATCCATGAAACCCCAACAAGGGAAGACTCTCACTGGTCACATAAATTAATATTCTTCCTCCTACGACGTTTAAGAGATCACTTTTTCAACTCCAAAATACAATGCCTGCCCAAAAAAATTTGTCGTGTAGAACCACGTCGTCCTGTCCACACCTTTAACTTGACAAAAAGCAGAATCGGTTCCGAAAGCATCCTCTCTGAACCGATTATTTATGAATATGAATCAAGGGCTACTTGCGAAAGATTAACCTAACAAATTACAAGAAAGTAATAAAACAATACCTAAATACAATAAATAATACTGACAATTCATTGCCTACAAAGTATGTTCTCGAAAAATTCTCCTAGCGCACATCGAATACAGGCTGAATACGAAAAACTACAATTAATAACTTCATCAATTAATAGATGAGGTTATCAAGCGAAGCTACATGTGGAAACTACCAATAATTGAAATTTGAAACAAGACTTGAGTGACGTGTAGCACACAGACTCCGGGCCGTATTGTGTATACTGACTTTTAGATCAAACCAAAACAATGTTGCTTATAAGATTTTTAAAAATATTACTGATCATTTAAATAATATAAGAAACAGTTGTTATTAAATCGTTAATAATAAATTAACCCTGGTAAGGGCCAAAACATGTATCCAATTTCGTAACGATAATTGATTTTCAATTTCACTAGGTACTGCGAATAAATTCACATACACCTATCTATTGAGAAGATGAATTAAAGAATCAAACGTTACTCGTTAGGCCAATTGACCAATAGAAACTTTTCAATAAATACCGCTAATTTTCAACAAATAATCATTCTAAAATCTTCTACCAACACTAAAGAGCATTTACTCTTTTTTTGTTCACTTAGAAAAAAGCAATTTAAATATAAAATCAAGAATTGCCACCCACTTTTCCCTATTCCTTTCAAATTTCAACAAATTAATAATTTACAAGCAAAGAAAGCAAATATTATGTTTGTACCGGTACCAATCACCAACGAAATCAATTAGGCTGTTTCGAGAGATGTAGACATCAACGCAATAATTGGCAACATTAATACTAGCAGCAATCGATTTTGGTATCACAGATTATGACTCTTGGGGCATAATTGACATACAATAGTACACAAAACTTAAGGCTCATCCACGTAACATGTCCATAACAATCGTAAAGAAATTTGGTTCGTATAAATGTCACAAACGTGGCTGTAACCGAATACATATATTTTTCAGAGACAGCAATTTCGGCCAGACCTGATACTGTTTATATGCCATAATAGTTAGTTCTGCTCGGGCGATTTTCTCTACGCCAGGATTTGTCACCGTTGCGATATTAATTTTCGGTAGGATAGTTATATTCGACGGTATATCTTATTCTTTATGGTCGTTGAATCCCAACTATAAGAGATATATATTTGATTAGACTGCGACTACGACTTTGATTTAGGAGGTATCGCGTTTTACTTTATTAGGGCCGAATTATGGGTTTATGTTCCGGATGGGCTGCAACCTCTTCGAACTGCGGTTATTTATTATTTGATATTCGGAATAGTCTATAGTAGATTTAAATTTTGACACTTAATTATATTTAATTGAATTTATAGAGATGGAATCAACTGGTTTTCATTTGAAAAGGAATCCGAGCGAAATATTTATATGATAAACACAGAAGTTGTAAAATAATTTGCTACCATGCTTTGAGGTACCTATATTTTTATTAAAAGTATTTAAAAAGATTTTTCTAGAGAAACTGAAAATATATAAGTAACTACCGTCCCATTTCGGTATTTCCAGTTTAGGAAAAATTTTTGAAAAACAAAAAAATAGTTAGTTAACATCAATAAGGACATGTAAAGAGAAAGATCTATACTGCAGGATATCATAAAAATTGTTGGAAAATTGTTATAAATTACAGAGAAAAAGGAATATCCTTATCCTACTTTAATAGACTTGATAAAAGCTTTAGACTGCGTGGGTAATGACATTCTTTTAGGGAAACTAGATTAGGATTTACTAGCTTCAAATAAAAAAAACCGTCATCAACATTTTCGTTATCTAACGGAGACATGTCGGATGCTTTACCGGTATCAGTAGAGTAAGATCATTATTGGGTTCAATTTTCTTTATAATTTATAATAATCATTTTACCGTTTAGTTTTGGAGCCAATTTGAAGATTATCTATGCAGACGACACCACTAAACGTTGGCCATTCGAACGTGTGAGTCAGGATTCTCTGAATGATACGATACTATGGTGTAGTTTTATTTTATTTACTGATCCTAGTAGTGAAACTCTTAAACTTCTTAAAGTGTTACTAAATCCAACTCTTAACAGGAAAAGTCATATTGAATATTTGATCGGAAAATTAGACAAAGTAGTGTTTCAGATAACAAAACTCATTGAGATACAGCACGTTTTATTATAGTAATTGTTATAGCCTATAACATAGTATTTTTCTTCGGAAAAATTTAACTGATTTTAAAAGAATAATTTTAAAGATGTAGCAGAGAGCAGTGCGAACTTTAGAAGGTACTTATAGTAAAGAACATTATAAACAAATTTAAAAAAATATAATCAACTGACACTGCCATTAATATTATGTATTTACCAAGGTTTAGTATATGTGCTAGGTAATAATAATTTTGAATTACATTCAGATACTCAGAATATAATACGAGATTCAGAAACTTAAAACGTATCTTTCATCGACTTACGACGTCTTCACAACCTGTAAATTATTTAAGAATATTTTAAACTTAAAGCTGCACAAACGATTCTAATTATTACCGTAATTCAATCAATAATATCTGCCATATTAATAGATATATCATGAAATAAAAAATATAAGGATATGCCATTTTTTGCATACCCGCAACATTTTTTTTGAAAAATAAAAAATGTAAAAAAATAAAAACCGTGTTTCTCAAGTCACCCTACCTGTTGGGTAAGTTGAAAATGTAACGAAAAATCAGTATAAATGGTAAGTAAAACTATCCTATAGGTGACTTGACATCAAATTTAACTTTTTACAAAAATATGCTTCTATTATGCAGGGTGACACAATTTTTTGAGACCATTTACTTCGAAAATAAATATTAATTCGTACATAATACAAAAACAAAACTTAAAAATCAAAAAATTCTACAAAAGTTATCATGATAATAATCCTTTAACCTAAATAAAATTTTGTTCATAAAACATTGTCATCTTCAACCAAATCAATCAAAAATGTTAAACGTCCTCTGCGAAGGGGCTTTGGAGCTGGCAGATACACGACTTAATTTATTTTCATCATCCATAGTTTTTCATAAGAATTTTACTTCAAGGTACTCTTCATCTATGATTTGGTAGATTTCTCCAACATATTTTACAACCCGTTTCTCCGTATTAAATTTCATGAGTATAAACTCTCCACATTGAAATTTCTGTCGTTTTTCATTCTGCTTGTTGTCTTGATTTTGCATTTATAGATTATCCTCATTATCACTGGGCTCTTTATCCTCGGTCTCAATATCACTGGATTCTTCTTCGATCAGTTCTTTATTCTCACTTTAAGAAGAAAGTTCCTATTTATTGGACTTTTTTTTTAACAAATTCCTTTTGCTTAGATTATTGTACTGCCATCGTGGTCTCGTCTGATTTTCCTACTTCTCTCCTGGAGCAACATTTAGTTTCTTCCATCTGTCGGACTTACCGGGTTTTACATTTCGTGTCGACTCAAACATATTTTTTGCCTCTAGTTCTACTAATGTAGACCAGGAAATCAATCTTTCCCTATGGGGACAGGTTCTGTAATGATCAGAATCAGAATGAAGATCATGAAATGGAAGACAACCTCGAACAAGAAGAAAAAAAGTGAGCAAACTTCAAGAGACCGTTCATTAATTCGCCCTCCTGAAAGATTCAACGACTTGATCATGACAGCCGTAGGGGAGATAGAAAAAAATGACTATAAACCGTCACGTTTTAAAAAAGCCATTACATGTCATCAAAAAGATAAGTGGTTAGAAGCTATTCAGAATGAAATGATATCACTAAAGGATAATACTACTTGGGAGATAGTAGACTTACCGAAAAATAGAAAAACACTTCCATGTATGTGGGTCTATAAAGACAAATCCAGATGGTACCATAGAACGCTACAAAGCTAGACTGGTAATTAAAGGTTACTCACAGAAGAAGGGAGTTGACTACGATAAAACTTCTAGTCCAGTAGCTAAGATGAGCACAATTAGAACTCTGTTAAGTGTAGCAGCCAATGAAAGTATGGTTCGTACTCAATTTGATGTCTTAACAGCATTTTTAAATGGTTCTCCTAGTGAAGAAATATTTATGAGACAAGATAAGGGTTTTAGTGATGGACAGAAAAGGCCTGCAAGTTAAATAAAAGTCTTTACGGATCTAAACAGGCCCCAAGGTGTTGGAATGAATGTGTTTATAAATTTCTAGTGACTGTCGGCTTTATACAGAGCCAAGCTGATCCATGTCTATATATAAGAAGCTCATACTTGCTTTGTATGTAGATGATGGGCTTATCGCTTCTTCTGACAAAACTGATGCTCAAATATTTCTTGAAGAGCTGAGAGAAAAGTTCAAAATTACAACAAAGCCAGCTTCGTATTTTTTAGGTTTGGAATTGAATTTCAGGGAAGATGAATCCATTGAAATTAGTCAGAGAGCCTATACGAAAAAAGTTTTAGAAAAATTTGATATGACCAATTGCAAATCTGTAAAAATCCCAAGCGTGCTATTAAAAAAATGGAAATTTTCTTTTCTAGTAAGTTAAATTTAATGTGTAATTATTGTTGTTTGTAAGTCAGGATTTATGACTTTATTATTTTTTAATATAGAATTTTGTAGGGGCGGCTTGAGACCAAAATTTTGGGGGTTCACAGTAGCAGAATATAGATCCCGGTATAGATATAGGTAAAAAACTGTCAGTGTTTTTAAAAGGTATATTATAAACTTTCTAAAACACTGAAAGTTTTTTCGTACATCTGTACTGATACCTATATTCTGTCACTATGAATCAGCCCACAAGCCGCCACTGGAATTTTGTAATTAAATAAACTACACTCTGTAAGATACGGGTTGTGACTATTTACCAATAAATATATATTATTTAGAAATATATACATTATTTAACTTACACTAGGAGCTTTAAAAAGACTTGGATTTTTATCTCCTTGTGTTTTTTTTTAATTTTATATCGGATTTATATCCCGCTTTTCAACCCGAAACGAAGCAAACCCTGCTTCGCCGTTTTTTGTTACTCATTGTTACTTGTAGTCAGGTTCTTTATTTCAGCTTATTTTTATTCTTTTCACTAAATTTTACAAAAATCACTTTAATTCCCATTGACTTGCATAGAAAATAGACGTCGTTATTTTGCCACCCGCCAACAACAGTAGTTTTTCGGAACTCCATAAAAATAGGGACGGAAATTTGAAATTTGATCGAGGCCGATTCGCATGGATAAGTTGTTATGACGTCTAATAAACGCATGGTACCAACTATTACCCAGTCTGTTATCGGTAAAACTATTTAATCTACGCCCTTGCCTAAGTAAATATTATCTTTATCTAAGGGAAATCCCCATTCCGCAGCATATAAAATAAAATTGTTTAGAACAGTTTCCTTCTCCTTTGTCAATGAAGTCTGTCCTTCATAAGTTTTCATATATGTTTATTATGAAATTTTCTAGTTCATCTTTACTAAAATCATGGTATTTCTGCTTAGCTAATACTCTTTTATATTTATTTGGTATTTTCTCAAGTCAACCAAAATCTGTAACAAAAATTAACAAATATTAAAATTAACAAAAGTGAGGTATAGAACTCTTTAAGAAGGCAATAAACTACTCTAAAAAATATATTACATGAAATTTTCTCATACTGATACCTGAGGGTGATCCTTATTATATACTATATCAAAAAACATGGTTTTCCTACCTTTTATTCAGATTTTTTTACAGGGTAAATAAAATATCTATTAACAAGTTTTTGCAGTTGAAAATATAATTTTACCATCGAAGAACACTTTACAAATTTTATGGATGTTACAACTATTTTCTAATAGATGGCAACAATAGTTAAACAAATAATTCAGTGCTGTGTCAAGTCACCCACTTCTACTCAATTTTCAAACACTCAAATTGCAAAAGATTTAGTATGGTTATGTTTGAGTCATATAGTGCAGCAATTTGAAACAATATATGAAACCAAACCATGGTGAAAAAAGCTTGTCTGCAAACTTGTTTTGTTAGAATGACTGATACAGCCTAATTATTATATTACAGTTGCTTTTATTGCAATAATATTTTATTAAAATGTTTCTGTCTTAAAATGACTTCCTAATACTTCTAAATAGCCGCCGTATTTAACAAAAATTCAAGACAGTTCTAAGCTAAATTTTTTGGAGGTTTTACTAGTTTATAAGATAAAGCTAAAATTACTAAATATTTATTTAAATTGAATATTAGAAATGTGAATCAAACACGAAGCGCTAAAAAATTCGTATTGTATGTGTTATAAAATTAACCATAATTTTTGCCGTATCCAAATACGATTTTATTGTGGGTCATAAATTATATCTAAACCGCGTTATTGACAACTCTTGGGTAGCTACTACCATTTTAATATTATCATCTTAAATTTCTCTTCTATGACAAATCTTAAATTAATGTGTTTTCCCCAGATATGTACATTTAAAAAACTAAAATGTTACTGATTTTAATATGCAATATAACCTTAAAATTAAAAAATTATAAAACAGTTATAAAAGTTAAAAAAACTAACGGGTAACTTCATTCAACAAACCTTATACAACCAAATAGTTCTGTTATACTGCTTATTACTGTTGAAAGAATGTTCCAAAAATGTTCTTAGCTAATATTCTGTTTTATAAATTTTGTTTTGTAAACATTCTTTCAGCTTTTATAAAATATTAAATTGTTACTTGGGTGACCAGTAAGAATATTCTAACAAATAATGCTTATTTGTTATTTATATTAATATTATTTTTCATTATCATGTTACTTTAAAATAATACTATATGCATCTCTACATTTTAATTTATTTATTAGATGTAATGGCGTCCCCGTCGATCACTAATGCAGCCTCCCATGTAAGAGTAGCAAGAGAGGCAACTCCAGCCACAGCAGCAACAGCGGCAACTGCAGCAACAGCGGCAACAGCAGCACATTAGTTCTGGATTTGCCACAAAGCATAAATTAAATGATGGCCAGAATGATGACCATACGGCACCACCTAGGCATAAGGAGCACATAAATCACATAATTAGCATATCAATAGCACATAAGTAGCACACGAAATTTAAGTTTGATAAATGTTAAAAAAAATTTGGATCTGAAACAGAAATAAAATTTATTTTAGTACTTTTTTTGTTTTTTTTTTTTTTATAAACCAATGTTAGTTTAAGATTTACAAATGTCTTTCATTTTTGTTTAATATGGCTTCTATTAGTGTTAGGAAGTTATTTTAAAAACACCGTCTTATTAAATGCAGCATTTATTATTACAAAATATGAAGCATATAAAAAGAAAAATTATAAAAGTTATCGTAATTCATACGCTAGAGAAATCTCTAAATAAATTTTCATCCTATAAAGCGTGACAATTTAAAAACTTACAATGGGCTATATCTCACAATCGAAAGAAATAAAAATGCTTAAAACCATTTCTTGGATAGGAAGGGGGAACTAAAATGACATAAAAGAGAACTCACAAATTTGTAGTTTAATAAAAACTTCATTAAATTTTCCTTTTAAGGCAAGGTTTCACAATTATTATTTATACCATTGGATAGCATTTTTTATAGGCTTTCCAATGATGTATCACAAGTAGGGGTTTGCCATTTAAACTTTTTTAGTTGGAGTAGGGATTGATGGGGATGAGTTCACTTTTATGTCATTTTAGTTCCCTTTTTCCATTTCCTATTCTACAAACGCTCATAACGACTTTTTGATATCTCCGTTTGTGAGATATAGCCCATTGTAAGTTGTTAAATTGTCACAGCGACCGTATTCATCATATCGTTGTTGTTAATAAAATATAGTAATTTTTGCAACAAGAGTGAATATTATGGCCATATCGCACGGCTTCGTGCTCAATCGTCTGAGTGCGATGTGGACAATCCACTCGAGTTGTATAGTATATTTTTTTTACGACCCACTAACGAAAATTTGCAAATAAAAATAATATTTTAGGTTTTTAAGACAAAATAACTAATTTTACAAGTATTAGAAATTAAAAATAAAAAAAAAACGTGCATATGCCATTACCACATCTTAACAAAATTTATATGGGGCCACCCCTGAAGTACCCCCTTACTAACAAAAACAGAATCATATAAATCGGACAAGGTAGTAAAGCATTATCGCTAAACATACATAAAAAATGAAGAGATTGAGGATTTTCTCAGGGACCCAATTATTAGATTTTGACCAAATGTATATGGGACCACCCCTGAAGTAGCTTCTTTCCAACACAACAATTATTGAAATCGGACACCATGTTAAAGAATTATTGCTGAACACATAAAAAAAATATCGCGACGAATTGAGAACCTCCTCCTTTTTTGAAGTCGGTTAAATATAATTTATGACTTTTAGTAATTTTTAAAATAAAATAAACGAAAAAAAAATCATTTTATTTTTCCCCAACCGAGAATCGAACTCCAGTCATCCGCGTGGAAGGCCAGAATGCTGATCACATGACCACCCATTCTTTTATGTTTGTTGCTTTATTATTCGAAATAAAAACAGAAATGCTATTATTTATCGATTCTACACAAGAATAACCAATTTTAGTGGATGTTTAATCTCAATAACTAAGAAATATACTGACAATTAGTTTGAAAGAACTGTCACTGTCAGTTGAAGGCAATAGCATACTTTTTAGATTTGTAATCTGTGCGTAGATAAGCTAATATCCATTTGGGTGAAGAAAAAAGCCTTTACGAGTAGCCACTACTAAAAAAACTACGACAAATAATTAAAAATAAGAACCAGATACCGTTGTGGATTTGTACCCTTCGAACAGTCAGTCAGTATTGCCTACTTCACTTTCTAAGTTACTTTCCCGGCTAGCAACCTATACACAACAAATACGTTGTGTTTTTGTATCTTTTCCCGATTTTTTCCGGAATCATGCCTTAGTTAGTAGCATTTTCTGCAGATAATCATAGTTCTGGTAGGGTTTATTTAATTTAACTGTAGACATATTTCTAAGTATAAAAATAATTTTATTATTAAAAATGTCATTCAATAGGTAACTGGCAAAGTAATTATCTGTCAGAATCAATCAACTTGTTACGTTGCCTAGCATGTATCTTTGTTATTCTTTTTAATTATGATAGAAATTAATACAAATATTATTATTTAAAACTTATATGCAATAGGAGAGATTGTGAGTAAAATCCATAGATATATAACCAAGACAGATAGGATTATTTACAAAATTTTTGAAGAATGAACGGTGGTGTCCGCGGTAGAAACTCAATAATCGGATTGAACATTGATGCCAAGTTTACGTGCTTTTAACTATAGATATATATAACCAATACAGATTACACAATTTCTGAAGTCAACGCGGATGATCCTCGACAGAAATGCAATATTTGGATAAAATTAAAATATTGATGCCAAGTTTGCGATGTTTTTAACTGTAGTATTGTTATTGCGTTTGCTTGAATTACTGTTAGGTCTTTAAATTGTCCAAAAAATAATAATGTCTGACAACAGCGGAAGTAGAGTAGACCCCAATTATTGTGGAGGGTCGTATATTGTTTCATTCATAAAAATTCCTTCGATACAGTACTAGTCCAGCAGCCAGTGAATTTTTTCGTACTTGTTTTCCCGGTCCGTGTATATTTAAATAATCTATTCCCGGTGAACTGTATATTTAAAATAGAACGCCAATCTATTAACAAAAGTAAGCCAGATTAAATTCGCGCATTACGTCACATCGATACAAGTGAGATTGTTTACAAAGTGCCTTTGCAGGCCTATTTTGCCCATTTCATGTATTTGTTTTTAAATCATGTTAAATTACTATTTTTGAAACTCAACAAGGAGAAAATCCAATCAACTCTTCCGTTGTGTATATATATATATATATATATATATATATATATATATATATATATATATCTTACTATAGATAGAGCGTCCGTACATTCTTAAATCGCATTCATTGGAGCGTCCAGGTATTTAGAGCGTCCGTATATAGACGCTCTAAGACGGTGCCCATTAAAAATTTTTCCAGAGGTCTATAATGACGTCAGAAACGTGATGGCAAAATTTTTGAGAGACGCCAAAATGATGAAAAAATGCATGAAAATAATACGGCTCGCGTATACTTTAGTTCAATACTATTGCTACCAGAGGCACTTGCAGCGCTGATGTATATAGAAAGTATACGATTTCCTTGATACCCATTCGATTCTAGAGCGTCCACTGACTTGGCATCGTTGCTTTGGAAGCTAATGTTGTAAAATAAATTAAAGTTGATTTAATAATCTTAGTTGGCCTGGTAGAAGTCTTAGTATATTATAAAATTTCTCTCAAGAAGCCGTCCGTCCGTCCGTCCGTCATTTTTTGTGAGCGTTTAAAGGGGATTGAAAATTCAAAAAATCGTAAATCAAAAACGAAAAACAATATCAACTTGAAATGTTTAAGAAAAATCAAACTCTATAAGTGGACAAAATGTGTTGATTATGAAAAAAATCTAATAAACAATGGGGGGTTTAAGGGGAGTTAAAACTTTAAAAAATCATAAGTCAAAACCGAAACATATCAACATGAAGTTTTTTAGAAAAATCAAGCTCTATAAGAAGACAAAGGCTATTAATTAAAATAAAACGAATAAAAATTGGAACTTTAAAGGGAGGGGGGGTGGATTTGAAAAAAATATAAATCAAAATTGAAAAACAATATCAACTTTTTTAGGAAAAATCAAAGTCTATAAATCAAGCTCTATGAGGGGACACCGAAACCGAATATTGATTATGAAAAAAAATCTGATTAAAAATGGGGGATATAAGGGTGGGGGTGGAAACTTAAAAAAACATTATAAATCAAAATCGAAAAACAATATCAATTTGAAATTTTTAGGAAAAATCAATTTTAAGAAAAAATCAAGCTCTATAAGGGGACGAAGCATATTGATTTTGAAACAATCTGGTTAAAAGTGTTAAAAAAAATCATAAATCAGAAACGAAAAACAACTTGATATTTTTAAGAAAAATCAAACTCTATAAGTAAACAAAGTCTGTTGATTATGAAAAAATCTAAAAAACAATGAGGGTTTAAGGGGGGTTAAAATATAAAAAATCATAAGTTAAAACAGAAACATGATAACAACATGAAGTTTTTAAGAAAAATCAAGCTCTATAAGAAGACAAAGGCTATTGATTAAAAAAAAAACGAATAAAAATTAGGGATTTAAGGGGAAGGGGGGTGAAATTTAAAAAAAAATCATAAATCAAAATTGAAAAACAATAACAACTTGAAATTTTTAAGAAAAATCAAAGTTTATAAGTTGGCGATGTCTAATGATTAAGAAATAAATTTTGATAAAAAATGGGTGGTTTATGAGGGGTTGAAACTTAAAAATCATAAATCAAAAACGAAGCATGATATCAACATGAAATTTTCAGAAAAATCAAGCTCTATAAGGGGACAAAGACTATTAATTAAAAAAAATACAATTAAAAATGTGTGAATTAAGGAAGGGGGAGGGGTTGAAACCTAAAAATAAATCATATCAAAATTGAAAAACAATATTAACTTGAACGTTTTAAAAAAAATGAAACTCTATAAGTGGACAAAGCCTATTGAAAAAAGTGTGGGATTTAAGGGGGGGTTAAAAAAATCATAAATCAAAAACGAAACATGATATCGAAATGAAATTTTTAGGAAAATCAAGCTCTATAAGGGGACAAAGACCATTGATTAAAAAAAATCCGATTTAAAATGGGAGGTTCAGGGGAGAAACTTAAAAAAATAAAAAAGAAAAAAAAAATATCAACTTAACATTTTTAATAAAAATCAAGATTTATAAGAGGACAAAGCCTATCGATTATAAA